TTGCAAGTATGACCGCAAGAAGAGGTACAAGACCAAGGATTGACGCGTGACACACAATGCGCACATCCACTTGTGGGAGACTAGGGAACGACAGCTGGTCCATGCAGGTCCTCCACACGACCAGCACACCTTCGACGAGTACCTACGGTGGCTTCACAGGTCTACGAGGACACATATCAATTCCCCATACACTGAGGAGGCGATTGACGAGGACTCGGGGGAAGAGCTACAGGAAGCTTGCTCAAAAGCTGAGCTGCATGGACACTCCTTATGAGGAACCGCCACTCCTGGTGCGGTCGAGTGGCACGTCTTCAGCCTCTTTAAGGACACCAGTCGGCTCTTCTCAACCGGTGACAGGTGCCACTTTCGTGGTGCGTACATCACCACATCATAGCGCTGGGAAGAACCCTGCAACCGAGGACGATAATGACGACCCCCGAGCTTCCACAGACAACACGACCAGTGGGACGATTGGCCGCAGGACGAGATCGGCATGTCTCAGCTAGGTGGTGCCCCGCTTGGTACCCAAGTAGCCTCACATGTACTAACAAAGGTAGTTTCTTTAAATACGTAGGCTACTTGAACTAACGATCATAAAGAATTCAAAGTAATCGTGCATATCATATACTTGTAGGGTACGAGCCATACGCACCGGCGACGCGACCACACTGACGTTGGCTACACTCCCAATGTGTTGCCACAAATTCGAAGAGACAGAGACGTCCGAGGGATCCTTACACTCCTAGGTCTTAGTTTGTTAGGTCGAATCAATATTGGTATCCGAAACTTGCAGGCTTAGTTGGTTATGTTATGTCGAACTTATGTCAAACCAATGAATATGTTATGTGCCAGCTTGTCAACTTGCGCACGGACTTCATTTATTTGCTTCATATTCGTTTCAGTGCGTCGCAGCAGCACTACCGGTGAGATTAAGTAACAACTAGTTCGGGAAGCGGCAGTCCCGGGGTATCTCGACGCCGTGGTCCATGGTCGTGTCGCTGCCAATCCTACAATATAGGGCTAAAAAGCTAAAAATAAGTTTTCTTAAAAATTATTCGTTTTAATCCAATCTAATTTTTCATAATCGATTAGTTAACATGGTGGTTAACGGTATTATGAAAGACGAAAAAAAATCATTGGCTTATCAAATTCTCTATTCGACCGTGAAAAAAAATCAACAAAAAACAGAAACAAATCCACTATTGATTTTACGTCAAGCAATACCTAGACTAACTCCCACGATCGGCGCGGAAAGTTTCGATTAAACCGTCCGGTATCGCCGCACCATGCTCTGTGGCGCGGCAGGCCTGCCACGTCAACCGTCAACCTTTCCGATCGTCGCCACGTTAGCTCTCTGTCGCACCACCATGCATGTGCGCGCGACACAGGCTTTTGGCCGCGCCTAGTTAAAAAAAACAGTTAGTGTTAAATTTAAAATTAGTTTTAAAAAGTATTAAAATTAAAAAAATCGTGAAGCACAGCGTGGGCAGCAGGGCGATGGTCAGAGCGGATGGTCGGCATGCCTTCTCCCTTTCTCCCTGTCTTCAGCGGCAGTGTTGAGAGTGAGCGAGTAGGAGTGGTTTTCGCCTTGGGGTTTCGTCTTGATTTATAACACGCGGGTGGAGATGGAAAGGAGATTCATTGAGGTCCGTCCGAAGGTTCGTCGTGGCAGTCTGCTAGAGCGCTCGTGATCGGTTCCGGATTCTAGCAAGGCCCTGTTTAGTTCCACAAAAAATGTCAAATTTTTCAAGATTTTCCGTCACATCGAATATTTAGACGCATGCATGAAGCATTAAATATAAATAAAAAATAAAACTAATTATACAGTTTAGACGAAATCCACGAGACGAATCTTTTAAGCCTAATTAGAATATGATTAAACACTAATTGTCAAATAACAACGAAAACGTTACAGTAACGTTTTGCTAAAAATTTTAGCATCCAAACTGGCCCCAAAGGTTGCTATCCGTGAGATATTCACTGTTAAACATTGTTGGTTTCAACCAAATCCAAATCAATCACCAACAAGATTTTCTCTAAAAAAAAACAAGCACCAACTAGCTCAAACCAAAGACCAAAGACCAACCAAATGAATGGTGATTTGAGATTCCAGCTACCTCGTGATAGGGTCTGCAGGCCGAATTCATAGGTTCGACTAGCCACGCTCTTCTCGTAGAGTGAGTGGTACGGAGTACAAGGAAGAAATGTCCTCTTTTTTTTCTTTGAGCGGATGCAGCGATATGTAGGCCGGTTTAGTTTCACTAAATTTTCAACTTTGACACTATGCAAAAAGAAGATTCTCCATCATATTAAACTTGTGTTACATGCATGGAGTATTAAATGTTGACGAAATCAAAAACTAATTGCACAGTTTGGTTGTACTTTGACGAGACGACCTTTTTGAACTTAATTAGTCAACGATTGGACAATTATTATCAAATAAAAACAAAACGACACTGTTGCTACAGTGTAGTACAGTGTAGCTTACAGTGCATTTGGCGGCGGGCCAATTCGGCCCAACTAAACGTGGCCGTACTGGCAATGCCTCGGATCGAGATTAAAGAAATGACCCGGATCAGGGCCCAGTTAACTCTGCGTGAGCCTTTGCCTCAAGGGCGGGAGACTCACGGCCAGTTTTGATGCCAAAATTTTTAGCAAAACGCTACTGAAATGTTTTCGTTGTTATTTGATAATTAGTGTCCAATCATAATCTAATTAGGCTTAAAAGATTCATCTCGTGGATTTCGTCTAAACTGTGTAATTAGTTTTATTTTTTTTATTTATATTTAATGATTAATGCATGCGTTAAAGATTTGATGTGACGAAAATCTTGAAAAATTTAGTATTTTGGGGTGCAACTAAACGGGGCCTCAATTTTGCTTTGTCTAGACTCTAGACCTGGATGCTAGTATACTGGGTCAGAACATCAGCTTGAGAGACCGGTGTTAAATGAAATTTTACAGGCCCAGACTTAAGTTTGTCCTAATTTATAGTGAATAATATTAATATTTAAGCTTAAAATAAGTTTAATATAAAAATACATTTTGTTTAATCTACTAGCAAAGGGCTCGTCGAGGCAGCCGTGAAAGCGTAAGGCCGCCTCCTAGGTCGCAACGCTGCGTTGGTTTTGGTTGTTTTTCCATTTATGTAATATCAAAACTAGAGTCATTTGCTAAGATGGTCCAGCTACGGCTGGGTCGACCTCCTTCGGCGCTCGTTAGAAGCGCGTCGTCTGTATATTTAAGCTATTCTTCTTAATACAATGATACACAAACCTTTTACGTATTCGAGAAAAAAATCTAGTGGTGCTTGTTTTGAATTCTAAATTAGTATATTTTAATATAACTTGATCAATGATTAAATTATTAGACTCATTAAAAAGCAAGGATTGCATTCTTTTGGGACAAAGGGAGTATTTATCTTAGGCTCCTTTTAAAAGAAAAGAAAGTATAGGAATGTTGGAGGTTTCTTAACCCTATATATAGGAGAGTTTTCCTATGTCTTTTTTTTAGGATAAATGATTAAATCCTATAAAATTACCTTAGATTAATATGGAATGTGTAAAATATAGGAATTTGATAGAAACTAGCATGAGTTGAACTTCATGAAAAAAATTCTTTGTGTTTCTCTTGAATTTTGCATTTTGAATTCCTATATTGTTGCAATAAGTTTCATGCAATTTTAATCATGTGTTTCTCCCATTCTGTGTTTTGAGAATCTAGCATTTTCAGACCTTGTTTGGCAGAGCTCCTAGAGATGATTCTCTGCTGAATTCAGCAGGAGCTCTGTCACAAGAGTTTTTAAGAGAAATGTGATTCTCTATTGATTTTGTAAAGTGATTCTCTAAAATGAACTAAGAGACTAGGAGCTGAAAAAGTAGCTTCTTCTGATTCCGGAAAGTGATTCTACATTATGATTTTGAGAGTTTATGCTAAAGAATCAAAGAGAATACTTTCATCCATAAAATCACTTCTTTTATAGAATCATTTTCTATAAAGAACCATAATCAGACGGAGCTCTATCAAACTAGCCCTCGAAAGGACCCTAAACAATCCTTTAACTCAATTGCACGCTACATGGTAGTAAAGATGTCTTGTTCCATTAAACTAACCTCTTAGCCCGAATAATGGCAAAATGGTACATTACCCCATTTACCGTTTAGCAAACAACAATTACAAATGCCTTGGCAGATATAAAGGCCTTTATAGGATCGCAGATAAAATGATCTGTTTGCTTGTGACTGCCACAACATTCACTTGCAGCAGCAACAAGTGCCCTATATGCATATAAATTATAAGCACCGGCCCCTGTGCCTGTACAGAAATCAAAACTAAAATGGCTCAAAGTCGAATGGGACGACACTATAGTTATGGCCTACTTCCTTCGTCTTGAAATAAGTATCCATCTCAGTTTTTGTAAAATCAACTAATCTTAATTTTAACTAAGTTTAAAGAAAATTGTATCAGTATTTATATTTCCAAAATAGGTTTTCAATTAATTTAATGATGCTTGTCTGATATAAAAAACACTAGTCCATTTATTTAAATTATAAAGTCATTTTAATTTTTTGTAATGTATCTAAATATATATTATGTCAATGTTCTAAAAAGTCAGAACGGTTTACAGCTTGAAATGGAATACATTTAGTTAAAGTTGAGATTATTTTACAGCGGGGGGAGTATGAAGTTATTTTAGGACGGAGGTGGTGCCAAGTCAGTGAAAAATACGAACGAATTGAAACCACCGACCGATAAGGACAGCACATGTTTGAAAGCATTTTGAAGCGAGTACCCCGTATCTTTTTTTTTGTACGAACGGAACTCGCCGTCCCCAACTGGCCCTGGCCCGCTGGCCGACTCCGTGGTGTGACACACTGCTCTTCTCCAATTAATGGCCTCCCGCCTCACCCTCCTTCCCCGCCCGTTCTCCCGCCGCTTAGCATTCTAGGGTTTTCCGATTTCCGAGTTCCGAGTTCCAGTCCGCCGCGGCCGCCGCCCGCGATGCCTGACTCGCCGGAGCTAGTCGTGAGGGCTGTCGGGAAGCGCCTCGCGCAGCCGCGCTTAGGCAAGGACGCCCTCGTCAAGCTCCTCAAGGTGACCACTGCTCATTTCCACCCGCTTCTCCTCGTGGCCTATTTGCTCCTCGATCTAACCCAGCGAGCTTCCATTTCCGGTGAAACGCCGCGCTGCCTCTTAAGTTTCGAATTGGTAGGAGGTCTTGCTGTAGTGCGTTGCTAAGTTCGGTGGAATTTGCTACTCAAATTTGTAGTCACAGTTCAGGGAATAGACGCGGCCTGCTGACAATTTTGGTGAATTTGAATTCCATGTTTGCAATACTTACTGATTTTCATCTGAAGCTGGAGTGGTGGAGTAGTAGCACTGAAGGAGTCGTGTATACACTAGTGGAGGATGTCGTGTTTGGTCAATGTGGTGCTTATGTTTGTGTGATAGATATTCTGAGAGTTGGTTTCGGACTTGGGGAATGGTGTTTTTTTGGGTCTTATAAGGCACCTTCATCTACCTGGCATGGGAGGCAGCTGAAAAGCGTGTGGAGTTTTGGACATTCAGTTGAACTGCTTGTCACTGCTTGCTGTTCCATGTTTGCTTTCTTTCTGAACTGCTATAACTGAGGGAAGCTGCTAGTTCTGAAAATTTTTGTAGGTAAGGAATGAAAGGATATATGAGGCATGGTCAAACATATTTCTGTAAATTGACAGTGAGCCGTTAACATTTAAATGATTTCCTTGCATCCTGTTGCATTTTTTCACGATAAACCTTCTCTTGGAGATTGATTGGATTTTCTCAGGGTTTATTGTCTTTTAGCTTTGTGCTAGTGTTGGTCGATGGTCCAGTTGTTGAAACAGTTCAGAGTTCTTCTGAAGCTAGACATGAACTTGTCCATTGTTAATACATACTCAAGTTGGATAGTCATAATGACAAAAAGGCTCAAATAATGGTGGATTCATATTCTTTACTTCCCTAACACATTTATGTTCTTATCTGCAGCAAGCTGAAAGTGCATTATCAGAGTTTAGTCAATCATCCTCTCTGCAGGATGCTCTTCATCCTCTGAGCAAATCTCTAGTCCAGACCACTTTACTCAACCATAAGGATAAGGATGTCAAACTTCTTGTTGCTGTTTGTTTTATCGAAGTTATGCGTGTCCTCGCACCAGATCCACCTTTTAGCGATGAAATACTTAAGGTATTTACCAGTCATGCTACTTTTTTACTATGTATCTGGTGATGTAAAATGCTACTCCCTCCGTTCATCTCATTTCTAGTACAAGCATTCGAATTTTGAAAATTCTGACTTCATAAACTTGGAACAACAGTTTGTCAAACTATACGCACGCTTACAGTATAAAAGTTACGTAATAGATTCATATTTCAAATATCTTTTCATTGATTCTGTAGTGATTGATGATATATTTAAAGAGAAACTAGTTTTTTTTTCTCGAAAAACGCAGGAGAGCCGCACTTCATTATATTAAGAAGAAGAGTGGGCAGAAGCCCTTACAACACACACAAAAACCACACCCCAAAAGAGAAACTAGTGGTCAGCGTATATATCTCCAAAGACCTTTTCCAAATCATAATACGTCTACTAACAATGAACAGAAGTAGTACCTAATAGTTACTTTTTTACAACAGAGCTTCTGAAATTTCATTTACTTTTAGAATAAGTAGTGAGAAAGAACAATTTCATCAAGGATTGCACTATAACACTTGGTTAACATTTTTTCACAGGAAATATTTAGGCTATTTATCAGCATATTTGCAGACCTTGCTGAAACTAGCAGTCCATATGTTACTAGAAGGATGAAAATATTGGAAAATGTTGCTGCACTTAGATGTTCTATGATCATGCTCAACATTGGCTGTGAGGACTTGATTCTTGATATGGTCAAAATTTTCTTCTCCACAGTGAAGTAAGAACAAATCTACTTCTTTGATTGTTATTCTCTTATACTTTGTTAAAACCATTGTTCAGATCTGATGCATTTGTCCACCATGTTGCTTGCAGTTATTTTTTGTTGTTAATACTATATATCAGCTTATTTTTTGTTTGTAGTACTACTTAGCTTTAATGCAGAAATTAGGAACTCTCATGTCATTGAGACTTCCAATACTGGGTCTAAAAAATGTAAATGTCGGGCACTCGGGTTGAATTCTATTTACCACTGAAGCTAAGAGTGTCAAATAATTAGGCTTCATCCACCTATAAAAAAATCACTTTGCAATTTTGCACATATTACAGCAATTTCATATACATTTTGTCATTTTTTAGGAAAAAGCGTATAGTTTGACCATCTCATGATGTTGGAACCAATAGGGATGTACCTATTTGGTGCACTGGGTTCAGTGAACATGCCATGGCCACCATAAGATTGCTAACCATTTATCTGTATTACTGAACAGTCATTTTCCTTCATTTATAGTCTTGCCATGACACTGTTCTTTCTTTTTTTGTTTGCGTGGGGGTGGGGTGGTAGAAATGGTATTGCTAGTCCTGCAAATCAAAATTCCACTGATTAGGACTTTTGCTTTAGAACTCTGTGCGCAAAAGGTAGATTATGACTTAAAGCGCCGTTTCTGTAATTCTGTTACCATATCTGTATTTTTGGCGTTGGTTTTGATGACTATGTTATTTGTCTAGATGGTTATTACTTGGCATGTGGACATTTCACTGTTGCTCAAAACATAGTGAAAAAATTTCTTGTGATTTCTTGGGAGATGTTTTGCCGAACAAATACATACCTGAAATATCACATAGTATAATATGATGCCTCATGCTGATTTCATTGGTTGACCATGACCAGAGTTTGACACTTTGACCAATTTTTTGGCAACTCGCAAATTGCATTAGATTCAATGTTAACCAACGCAATATATACATTGCAACTGTATAATTATGTGCGTATATCCATTATGTCAGATTTTGTCATGTATTCTTCCTTTGCCTCTCTGTTAATTGTATTTTTAAAGAAAGTCTTTCATTGTTGTTAGAATTATTTTGGTGTATTATGCTCTTACTGATTCTTTTTGTAAGTTATATTTCACAGTTTCATATTTGTCTGCCAGATAATTGCTTGATTCTGGAAGTTTAATATGAAGCCTTAGGTTAACTTCGTTTCTGTGAACCTTTTTACAGGCATGGTCTTCAGCAGAGTGTGTGCCAAGCTATGCTATCAATAATGACACAAATATTGAATGAGAAAGTTACTCAGCCTCTTGTGGATGTGATTTTACGCAATTTAGTAAAAGATGACAAGGTGCATTATTTATTTATTTACTTTAGTTATTATTGGTTGAAAGGATGTTTCTCTAAAGCTTGTGGTCTGGACAAATACACACACGTGGTCACCTGCATTACTCATTCTTCAGTCCAAGTAGATTTCATCAGCTAATGTTTAATTTCTTTTTCTTTTTTGCCTGTGCAGGGAGCATCCCACAAGCTAGCTTTTGACATCATTGAAAATTGTGCTGACAAATTGGAGCCTATCATTCGCAGTTTTTTGTCCTCGTGCATTTTTAACAAGGATATGCCGGTTACTGAACTTAGGAGATCATATCATAAAATTATTCTTGAAATATTCCAGTGTGCACCCCAGATCCTTTTCACTGTCATTCCAAACTTGACACATGAACTTCTCGTATGCTATCCTCCTTTCTTTGTTACACCATTGTACCTGCATAATACTATTCCTGAATTTTGTACTATCTACCTCTGTAGAGTGACCAAGTTGATATAAGGCTGGAGGCAGTTCACCTGATTGGGAGGCTTCTTGCCTTCTCTAATCTTCATTTTGGTCAAGAAAACAAGGTGGTTTTTATAGAATTCCTAAGGAGATTCTCTGACAAATCTGCAGAAGTTAGAATTGCTGCAATTGATGCAGCCAAAGCGTGCTACATGGATGTATCTGGGGATGAAGCACAACATATACTTTGTAAGGCTGCTTTTAGTTGTTATTTTATCTAGATTGCTGTGTTAGCACCCTTTTAATGTTAACATTCATTTCTTTGGCAGCATCACTTGAAGGGAGGTTACTAGATTTTGATGAGAAAGTGAGGATCCGAGCTGTTCACACAGTCTGTGATTTAGCCAAATCAAATCTTAGCTCTTCTGCTAAACTGATATTACGTGCAGCTGAGAGGCTACGTGACAAAAAGGTGAGTTGATGTTTCTCAGTGCAGTTATTTCTCTACAATGCTTCACCCAAACATGCTTTTCAGGCATCCGTTAGAAAAAATGTAATGCACAAGTTGCTGGAGCTGTATCGGGATTACTGTGAGAAATGCTCGAAAGGAACTGCCACAGTCAACACTCATTATGAACAAATCCCAGCTAAACTTATAGTTCTTTGTTTCGATAATGATATTGAATCCTTCAGGTTTGCCCTTTTTTCTCCCTTTGTACATAGGATCTTGCCCACAGTTCTGAATTCTAGCCTCTTTATTATGGCAGGCCACAGAATATGGAGCTTATATTTGCTGAAGAACTCTTTCCATCATCTCTTTCTCCAAAAGAGAGGGCGACCCATTGGATTGTGTTCTTTTCTTATTTCAAACCAGAACATATTAAGGCTTTGAACACCATCTTTTCTCAGAAGAGAAGGTAGATATCTACCCCACATAGTATTTAAGTGCTATAACTGTACGCACCACCACTTGATGCTGAAGAAAGTTTACTTTTAGGTTACAAGTGGAGATGCAAGCATATTTATCACTTCGAGCAAGGAAGGTTTGTAAATTCATTAATCTATTGGCAACAACAGTTGACCTTATTTCTCAAATTGAAGCCTGCTTGTGCTGTAGGAGGAACCATCAGATGAAATACAGAAGAAAATCTGTGCGACATTCAGAAAGATGGCAACATCCTTTCCAGATACTTCTAAAGCTGAAGAGTGCTTTGGAAATTTGCACCAGATGAAAGATAATAACATATTTAAGGATTTGGATGAACTAATCAATGAGGGAACCACTTTTGCAAAAGGCCGCTTGACCAGAGTAATACTCTTTTAGCCCTTTTTGATTTCTCCTTGGTTTTGTTACCTTTATCCTCAGAGATCCAAACATTATGAACTGGGAGATGTTATAGTTCATAGCCATTAGGTTTCACTGTACACATGTTTGATTTATTTTTTTTGGCATTTGTTCTGCCTAATCATGGTTGCAGAACCCTACTTATTCATCAATCAATCCTCCTGATAACTCCTTTCAACACCTATGTATCACGAGACGTGTCAACATAGGACATGCATTAAGGAAATGAAATGTGCTTTTATCTCATCTTTCATATGTGCCTATTATTTACCATTAGAATTTCCTGTCAATCTGTCTTTTCTATTTTCTATTTTTGAGGTATGCATCGATTCATCATGATTGAAACACTTAGCAAATATTGGCAAGTCTACTGCAGTTTTGGTAGCGGTCCATGTCCTGTTATACTTTTCCTTTTGCATATAAATATTCAATCTCACTAAAGAAAAATGTTTAGTGAAAAGAAATCAAAATTCTTTCAAAATCTAATGATTAGAAGAGTGGCGGATAATAAGGATCTGCACAAAAGAGTTGCATAGCTTAGTAACATCATACTGACATGCATCATTAACCACTGAGATTGTAGACGAGGTACTAGTATAGTGGATTGATGCATTTCAGTTAAAAGACCCGACAAGCCTTGCGTTAAAATAGTACTTGGCGTGGTTATTGTGCTTATATCATTTTTCGAGTTCTGTATCTTAAGAATAGTATGAAGAATATACAGAGCCCATGGAAGGAAGATCAATGACTCATATAAACTATGTACTTAATGGAAAATGTCCCGAAGAAACCCAATGAGAGACTAAAAATCCTGTTAGAGGAAAAAAGTAGCTATCATTCCTTTTTCCGACGAGTGAGGAAAACGTAATGTGAACTTTCCATGTTCAGTTTACTACAAGTGGCTAATTGTAAATTCTATTGAGATGCAAAACAATCAACAAATTTGATCTGTTCATTGGATTTAAAAGGGCACATCTTAAGTCCCATGCCCTAGTTCCTTCTATTCATTTTCTTTTGCCTGCATAAGTGCTCTTCTTAAAAAAAGTCCTAACAAACGCTAAAGCTTCAGATCTGTGGTCTTTGTCTCTGACTGTGTATTTGCAATATATGCAGGAGACATTTCTCAAGAGAATTGGACAGAAACACCCAATTTACAATTTTTCCAGAGCGCTGTCTATAAAATGTTTGCATTCAATATTTAATCAGGAGATGATCTGTGCCATCTTCGAGTCTCTTTTGTCCTGCAGAGATGAATTAACCGATTACGTGCAGTCTGCTTGTGATCTATTACTGGTAAGCATAGCTACAATAATAATATAGAAAATATAAGTTGGGGCAGATCCTGTTTCAACATTTGGCCCTCCATTGTACCAGACATGCTCGCATTTTAATAATGTATCCCTTATATTTGCATCAATAGTTGTGAGTCACCGAAATCCCCTAATAATGGTAAAATATTTCACAACTAAATGCTACATGAAATGTAGTCAATAGTGTGGATGAACTACTAAAGAAAATAAATGATTTTGACAGGCAGACATGATTCTTATTCGTAACTGCTTGCAACAGCTGGTACAATGTCGGCACAAGATCGGAGATAGATTTCTTTGTTATCTTTTGTTACTTGAGATAGCTTGCTTTGAGGATAAATTAGGAGATTTGTTAGTTGGTTTGTTAAACTTGGATGTTTGGCACACCTCCATATAATGAGCATTCGGCAGATGATTTAGGCAAGCAAGGAACAAACCCTAATTCATTGTCTTGAGTTTATACCCATGCCTTTATTTCTTATGCAAGAAGCATCTTCTCACTCAATGGCGTATCCATGTAGGTAATTGCAATGGTGTTTCCATCATTATTCCGAGGCTCAGATGAGTACTTGCTTAAGTTGTTCTCAGAAGAATCAGTCCTGATAAATGTGAAGACTCTCCAGATGTTGGCACATTTGGCAAAATCTACACACTGTTTATCTACTACTTTTAGGTAAACATATTTTTATGTAAAGCTGGATTGTCTTGACCCTTTTGGTTCTTGATTGTTACTCTGAACATGAACTATTGTAAGAAGTGCAGACCTTATCTCTTAGTAGGCCCCTTGGGTGTTATGAAAAGGCTACGGGGCAGATGGATTAGCAGAGAGACCCCGGATAGAGAGACCCCGGATAGCCGCCCTTCGTCGAGGACTATCTTAGGATTTCTTCTTGCTTGCCTCTAACTGATACATGATGGTCCCTTTTATAGAGACAACTTACTTGACCCCTAAGCAGTATCCTAACTGAATCAATCTATCTTATTCCTTTCCTAACAAACCAAAGCAACCTAATCTAATCAGGCCTGGCACTGCTCACGTGGTACTGTGCTGGCCCCACCTGCCATAACATTGGGCAATATGAAAATATATATAAAGTGGAGTGAAAGGGAGATATAGTAACCTATGTGAGAGACTATCAGACTAAGACACTGTTAAAGGTTTGATGTGTGTATCAATGCTGCATTTCACATATGAGTTATCAGACTAAGACACAGTTCCGATATGCTCGTGGGCTGCAATATGTTACCTTAAACTTTGGAAATCATCTTAAACTTTGTACATAGATCAAAAGTCAAAACTCAAGAGTATATGTACTGTATCTGTTATTTTCAAGTAAAAGTGTTAGACAGGCAGTTAGACCATGTTGTATATTGTCCCTTTGGCCCACGAGTACTGTGCTACTCCGGCTGTTGAGCCTAGTGTTTGGTGTTAGGCAAGGATATCTGGTGCTGGTCTTGTTTCTATAAACCTAACCCTTTGTGCCATATTCTTGCTTACAGAAGGAGATCCACTTTACTCCACTGGAGTATTGTGAGAGCCCACTTAACACATTATGTATTTTTCTGCTGTATCTGAAATTTTCAATCCCTTGTTTCATAATATCAGTGCATTTAACCCCTGGTGACTGGTGATGGTTACACTGTCTCTATTCTGCAGGGTGGACATGGTTTAAGTGGTTTGGTCCACGTCATTCAGCCAGCTAGCCAACAATAAGGCTAAACCACCTAGTATTGTCCACCCTGATAAAACTATTCAATCACAGTGATATTAAGAAATGAGGTGTCAGATAGACAACAAAATGTGAAAAATCTTTTAGGGCTCACAATACTTTGTTGTTGTCATTTTTACCATAGTACATCTGTTTGTAAGAGGGATGTTCTTTACATTTTGTATGTAAAGAAGCTGTTTATTCTGTTGCCAGCAATGTTGTCTACCCATTATTGGAGCAAAAGTGCATTGAAGGTACTCGTGCTGAATCAAAATATGCTATCACTGCAATTGCTTCACTGCACTCCTCAGATAATAAGAAATTTGCTAGATTATTTGAGGTAGGTGGTATTTCAGTTGCTTTAATGGTGTCTTATTATATTTCTAATTTTCTGATGTCTGCACACTGCACTGTTCAATCAACAATTGTATCAAGTTTGCAAATGCCTTGTAAAAATGAAAAAACTGACATTTTGTAAGGATGCTGTGTTTCATGAATGATGGTTACTTTGTTCCAGCTGCTGTGTTTTCATCCAAGCTGAATAACTTCTTGAAAGGAGAAATAAATTTGTATCATTTTACAATTTTCCAGATGACATTGATTATATTTTTCTGTTCTAGCTCACCCAACTTTGCTTATCTTATTCATACCCACTTTTAGCTGCATTCCCACCCACTGCAAGGTTTACATTGCTGTTTGCTTATATATGTTGTTTGATTACAATTAGCATGCTTTACCTGATCCCTCTTTGCAATCAGTACGATATTGGCATTTGCATGCAAATGTTTTTGTGATTTCTCTTGGCATGGCTGAGAGCATGATGAAAGATTAAAAGGTGATCTAGTAGGTTAGGGTCCACAGGCCATGCTGCTATATTTAAATTTTTTGTGATGTGATTAAGTATCTACATACTAAGCACATATTATATTCATTATGGTTTATTGTCCCATATTAAAATGTTTAATAGTTTAATACTGTTTCTGTCTGACGTCTATGATGCTATGCTACTGCTACTCGCAAAAAAATGTGAGTAGTTTTAAGATAGGTCCTTGTTTTTAACCTTTTTTTACTTGACATCATATAACCCTTTCTTTGCATATAATTTATGTCATCTATTCTTCCCTGCAGAAAGTTATTACTGGGCTAAATGATGATCGCAATGTTCCAACACTATTACAGTCCTTGGGCTCAATATTGGAGAATTCCCCTTCTGTCTATGAGTTGTACGAGAGGGAGATCATCACTTTGTTTCAAGATATTTTGTCGCCAGCTGAAGTAGGTATTTTGGTATAGAAATATGTAGCCTAGTGTTAAACAAACTTATATATGGTGTTTATTTGAATGCTTTGGTCTATGCAGTTCATTTCAACATCTGGACAGTCATCCCTTGATGACCTTTCTGCATGCTGTGCCTCTTGCAAGCGGAAGGTAGGCTCACTGCTTGAGAAAACAAAGCATTCAGTTCATGGTAGATTTCGTGTGGATGAAATTCAATTCAGGATTTCTACATGTTGCATCCACTGTGGAAACAACTTTCTTCTACTTTTATTGGCATGTGGGCATGGGGTGGGATAAACACATTACAACGCTGCTATTAGTGATGCATCTATGTTTTTGGTCTATGACTTTTTTTTGTGATCTATTGTAGATTTATTGTCTCAAAGCACTTGTCAGAAGTTGTTTACCCAGAAGCACTGCACGTGCTCGAATTAACAATATTCTGGGGAAGCTGTTGAAATATGAGAAGGGTCTCTTCGATGACATTGCTCTATGGTCTGTCTTGTTCTGCTACCTCTCATTTTGCTTACTACTACCTCCATTCCAAATTATAGATCACTTTAGCCTTGTCATAAATCAATCTTCTCTAACTTTGACCAGGTTTATATAAACATCTACAACATGAAATTAGTTTGATTAAATTCTCCAAGAAATGTCTTGATAGTGCATTTATTTGAACTTGTAGATGTCAACATATTTTTAAAAACTTGATCAAAGTTTGAGAAGTTTGACTTAGGAGTTGGGACATTGGTTAAGTGACCTATAATTTAGAAAGGAGGGATACTCTTTTTTTCTTCAGAAAAGGTTTATTCCAAATTTTTTGTTTCTGTTTACTGACAGTCTCAGCTTTTTGGGCAACTGGTGAAGCAGTGATGCTAATCTGTTTATTAGAATAAAGACTCTTAGGTGCATTGATTGCTTGGTTGATTAGCTTTTCTATGATATTTGTTGAAGTTAGTTTTTCTAGTTTGAAAAATCAAACCCTAATGCATCATGCCGCTTAAAAGTCAGCCACTATGTGAGGGTTTAGCCTAGTGCTTACCCATGTATCTAGTTATCTACTTAGCTATTCACTATTCACTGTCTAGCTGTTTTCAGGTCCCTTAGCATCCAAGCTAGCATCTACTTTATGCACTAGAATATGTTGTAGTAGTTGAGAACTTCTTGTATCCCAAGTTTGCTATTCCTATATAATGCAATCAAACGGCTAAGTGCCAAGCTGCCCTCTAACAAGAGAAATTCCACTTGTCTAGCTACTTGCAACAATTGGTATTTAGAGCTTGGTTAGGAGAGAGCAGAGGCCATGTCCACCTCCAGCGAGCGCGCCCTGAGAGCAGCAGCCGCCGCCGCAGCCGCCAACACAGGCGGAGGAGTGGTGGTCAATCCTGGCGCCGATCGCGCTGAGCGCCTGGCCACGGCAGAGGCTGCAGCCGCGCAGGCGATCGAGGCGGCCAGGCCGGCAGCGGCAGCAGCCCATGCAGCGGCCAACACGGCCGCCGCGCTACGCGCAGAGTTGGAGCGGCAGCCCAGGGAGCCGTCACGGAGCCCGGTGCGCCGCCAGATCCCATCGCCATCTCCGGAGCGCCGTCGGGGACGCGGAGGCCGTCACGGGTCGCCAGCGGCCGTCCAGACGATGTTCAAGGACTCCGGCACGGGGACGCCATGGCCGATGCTGACGAAGACCAACTACCACAAGTGGAGCCTACCCATGAAGGTGAAGATGCAGGCGCGCCAGCTTTGGGACGCCATCGAGTACGACGACCTCCCGTACCACGACGATCGGCGCGTGCTGGAGGCCATCATCGCCGGGGTACCACCGGAGATGGGCGCACCGCTTGCGGACAAGGCGACGGCCAAGGAGGCGTGGGACTCCATCGCCGCGGCGCGCATCGGTGTTGACCGCGTCCGCTGCGCCACGCTGCAGCGGCTGCGCAAGGAGTGGGAGAATCTCGCCTTCCGTCCCGGTGAGCAGGTCGAGGACTTCACCCTCTGTCTCGCCGCGCTGAAGCAGCAGATGGCCCGCCACGGTGACAAGGACCTCGACGAGTAGCGGGCGGTGGAGAAGCTTCTTCATGCGGCACCGAAGAAGTACGCCCAGCTGAAGATCGCGATCGAGACCCTCCTCGACTTCCAGGACCTCACCATCGAAGAGGTTGTCGGAAGGCTGAAGACGGTGGACGATCTCGAGGAAGAACCTTCGTCCGAGCCCATCTCCGTCGGCGGGAAACTGATGTACACCGAGGAACAATGGCTCGCTCGGCGGAAGGAGAAGAAGAAAGGAGGAGACGGCTCCGGCTCGTCCAGCTCGTCCAAGGAACCCCGTCGGCGTCCTCGCAGCAGCAGGAAGCAGAAGCCAAAGGGCGACCGTGGTGGCAGCGGCCAAGGAGGAAAGGCTGGTGGCGCCGGCGGCGAACGTAAGGCGAACCGCGACGACACCTGCCTCAACTGCCATCGTGCCGGCCACTGGGCGAAGGATTGCCCTCAGCTTCGACGCGAGCGTGGTGGCGCGGCGCATCTCGCGGAGGCGGATGACGACGAGGCGGCTCTATTTCTCGCCCACAGCTTCCTGGAGCTGGAAACAGAGGACATCCTCTGCTCCAAGGCCGACGCCAACCTCGACAACGACGAACCTCGGGCTCGTGCGTTCCTCAACACCGGCTCCGGCGAGCACAAGTTGGATGGCTGGTACCTCGACAGCGGCGCTTCCCACCACATGACCGGCCGTCGCGAGCTCTTCTCCGACCTCGATACCTCTGTTCGCGGCTCGGTGCGGTTCGGCGACGCATCAAGGGTGGAGATTCAGGGCGTCGGCTCGATCGTGTTCCAAGCCAAGACCGGCGAGCACCGAGTCTTGCACGGCGTCTACTTCATCTCGGCGCTGTGCAACTCCATCATGCGCCTCGGCCAGCTCGATGAGGGCGGGTCCAAGGTGGAGATCGACAAGGGCGTCCTACGCATCTGGGATCGCCGCGGGCGCCTCCTCGTCAAGGTGAACCGCAGGCCTGGCCGCCTCTATGTCCTCCATCTTGAGGCTGCGAAGCCGCTCTGCCTCGCCGCGAGAAAGGACGACGACACATGGCGCTGGCACGAGCGGTTCGGCCACCTCCACTTCGAGGCGCTACACCAGCTCGGCAAGCAGGCTGTGGTGCGCGACATGTCGGTGATCAAGCACGCCGAACAAGTCTGCGACACCTGCGTCACGACGAAGCAGCGTCGGCGCCCCTTCCCTCAGCAGGCCCAGTACCGCGTGCAACGACTCCAGGAGGGCGGCGCTACTTCCTCCTGATGGTGGACGACGCGTCCCGATTCATGTGGGCCGTCCTGCTGCTGTGCAAGGATGCTGCTGCGGATGCTGTCAAGAAGATTCAGGCCGCGGCAGAGGAGAGCGGCCGCAAGCTCCGGGTGCGGGTGCTACGCACCGACAACGGCGGCGAGTTTACCGTCGCGGAGTTCGTCGACTACTGCGCGAGAGAGGGCATCCAGCGCCACTTCTCGGCGCCTCACTCGCCGCAGTAGAATGGCGTGGTGGAACGCTGGAACCAAACCGTGGTGGCCACGGCTCGGGCGTTGCTGAAGCAGAGGAGGATGCCGGCCAAGTTTTGGGGGGAGGCGGTGATGACGGCAGTCCATCTGCTCAATCGCTCACCGACGCGGAGCTTGCAGGGCGAGACCCCCTACGAGGCCTGGCACGGGCGCACGCCGACCGTCGGCCACTTGAAGACATTCGGCTGTGTCGCCTACACCAAGGATCTAGGGCAGCTCCGCAAGCTGGATGATTGCGGCAAGCCCGACGTCTTCATTGGGTACGCGGAGGGAGCCAAGGCGTACCGCATCCTGGACTCTGTGACGCAGCATGTCAGGATCAGCCGCGACGTCATCTTCGACGAGGGGCGTTGCTGGGACTGGTCCACCCCGGACGCCGGCAGCTCGGCCGCAGCGGCGAGCGACTTCATCGTCGAGTTCTGGGAGACTGGAGGAGCCGGGGGAGCACAAGATGCTTCTTCAGTGGCGGCCGGCGGCAGCTGTGGCTGGAGACCAAGTGGAGTTTGCCACTCCACTGGAAGATGATGAAGACAGACTCGACGCCTACTACGACGACGAGCCGCTGCGATACCGCACGATGACGAACATCATCGGCGACCATCCTCCGCCTCCGCCCCCTCAACGCCTCTTCGTCGAACTTCACCTCACACACGCCGGCGAGCCTGCCAACTACGCCGAGGCCAAGGATGATCCGGCATGGCGGGCGGCAATGGAGCAAGAGCTCAAGGCGGTGGAGCAGAACCGAACCTGGGAGCTGGTGCCGCTCCATGCCGGTCATCGGCCCATCACCCTGAAATGGGTATTCAAGCTCAAGAAAGATGAGCAGGGCGTGGTGACCAAGCACAAGGCAAGACTCGTGGCGCGCGGCTTCGTCTAGCAAGAAGGGGTGGACTAGGACGACGCGTTTGCTTGATGTACGCGCATGGAATCCGTCGGGGGTCCTCCTCATGTTGACGGCTCAAGAAGATCGGGCTCACGTGGATGTCAAATCGGTGATGAGTACAGCCCATCTTCCGACATGGATGTCAGATCTCCTTCCGATCCGGCTTCAAATCGGACGCGATTTGAACCTCGCAACTGCTAGGTTGGTTATCAACCAAGCACAACTTGATTGACCTCGCCAAGAAGGCTTTTCCTCGCAAGCAAATCGAAGAGCACAAGCAAGAAGGTAAAACACGCAAACTGATATTGCAAATATGAATGACGCGATTATCAATAGAGGGTTCTAGAACTCCGGTACCAAGGACTAATCGACACGCGGGAGGAGATCAAGAACGGGGCCCGGATCACCAGTAAAGATTTGTCACCACAAGTTACAATGAACGATTCGGCTTCTCGATGGAAAACTAAACTCTAAACAAAACCCAATTGTGTAGCAATGGGTTTATAGTCTAAGACTCGAAGGGGGGGGTGCTCATTAGCCCACAACTTGGGCTTAAGGCGATGATACATGGCCAAGTTGGCCCAAATAGGTGACGACACCTTGCCGTGGTCACACTGATCCACGGACCTTCGTCGGCGTCGGGACCGATCCAAAACGACGACGTCGTCCCCCTTTCCAACGCATCCAAGAACGGCCCATTTCGATGTCGTATGAGAAAGTTATGACCAAAGCAGATGACGAGTGTCTGCTTTGAATCTGAGGGCGAGAGGTTGGAGGCATTCATGGCGTCGTGTGTCGGATTCTCGGAGAAGACCTTCGACATGAGTGACCTCATCATCGGCCTTCCTCAACTGGCGACCTCAAGGAGGAGGTATTCTACCTCGGTCGTCACGAGGTGCATCAAGATGCCACCGGTCATCACCTCCGATCGCCAAGTCGGATGCCACACTCATTAACAAAGCCAAGAGGATTACGGAGCTGGCCTGAATGGTTCGTCGCGTCTCACGTCGACGACCTGATCATCACCGCCCATACTCCAATGGAGGAGGTTCGGATGAGGCTTAGCATGAGTGACCTCGGCCTCCTCGGCGGCGTCGAGGTGCATCAAGATCCCACCCATCACCCTCCGTCGCATCCAAGAGGATTCGAGCTTGGGTGAATGGTCGGTCGCAACCCCGCCCCATACTCCAATGGAGGAGCTGCAGCAGTACAACATGGCGGCAGGTCGATCCCACACTACCGGCGCCTCATCATCGGCTTCATGCACTCGCCCGATCGGCATTCATTTGCTTCACCGTCGGCCGGTTCATGGAGCGGCCTACGGTGGAGCACCAACAAGCTGTCAAGCGCATTCTCCGCTATGTCGCTGGCACGCTCGACTACGGTCTGCACTTCACCAAGGCGCCCGGCTCCGCTCGCTTCGTCAGCTACTGCGACGGCGACATCGACACAAGCAAGAGCACGAGTGGAACACTCTTCTTCCTCGGCAATTGCTTGGTCAGCTGGCAATCAATCAAGCAGAAGGTGGTGACGCTCTCCAGCTGTGAAGCAGAGTACATTGCCACCTCTACTGCTGCAACCCAGGCTCTGTGGCTCTCAAGGCTGCCAGCAGAGCTCCTCGGCAGGCATGTCGAGGTGGTGGAGCTGAAGGTGGACAGCAAGTCGACCCTCGCTCTGGCCAAAAATCCAGTCTTCCATGAGAGGAGCAAGCACATAAGGATCAAGTACCACTTCATCCGCAGCTGCCTGGAAGATGGAAGCATCAAGGCCGATCGCATCTCAACTATTGATCAGCTTGCAGACATTCTCACCAAATCCTTGGGCAGAGCCAAATTTGAAGAGATGAGGGAGAGAATTAGTCTGAGGCAGATCATCCCCATGGCAGGGCACTAGGCTAAGGGGGAGAATTGAGGGTTTAGCCTAGTGCTTACCCATGTATCTAGTTATCTACCTAGCTATTTACTATTCACTGTCTAGCTGTTTTCATGTGCCTTAGCATCCAAGCTAGCATCTACTTTATGCACTAGAATATGCTGTAGTAGTTGAGAACTTGTATCCCAAGTTTGCTATTCCTATATAATGCAATCAAGCGGCTAAGTGCCAAGCTGCCCTCTGGCAGGAGAAATTCCACTTGTCTAGCTACTTACTTGCAACACTATGTGCTTTCACTAGCTTTGATCTATTTTATACAGGTACCAATGTTTTAGAGTAACTGTGATTGGAACTCGTCCAATATCTTAGGAATGTCAGTCTATTTCAATTAGATGCTTCTTGTTTAGTTCAATGACTGGAAGTAGTAATTCATTGAGCTTTCTTGTACAGAGATAAGGAGCATAACATTTTTTTTTTCATCTGCACTTTTTTTGGAAAATTGAAGGGCGGGCCTGGTGCAAGCGGTAGAGTCTTACCGCCTGTGACCGGAAGGTCCCGGGTTTGAGTCACGGTCTCCTCGCATTGCACAGGCGAGGGTAAGGCTTGCCACTAACACCCTTCCCCAGACCCCGCACAGGAGCTCTCTGCACTGGGTACATCCTTTTTTACACTTTTTTTTTGGAAAATAAATGAAGTTTTCCCAAAATTATAAGACCTCTGACTCTGAGATTGCTAGTCTTTCCATTCTCTTCATCAATTCTCCACATGTAATAATGCATTGTTCGTTAATAACACGACCTTGCTATGTGCCTACATCCCGCTTTCCCCAGCCATCTCACATTCACTAGGAATCTCAAAGCTACTGCTACCATATATGCTTATTGCTTGTTGGCATATCCAATATCCACATAAGTTTTAGCGTACAATCGAACTTTACTACTTTGTGATGAAGCTGCCTTGGCCAATACCCAGCCTGAGCCTAGAATTAAAGCTCGAAAACTTCAGGAAAGAGAAAACTATACCTCTTCCGTCGCTATGAATTACCAGATCTCTCCCCTTTCTCAGAAGATAAGTGTCCTGTGATTGGTGGATGAGAGTTAATTAATAATTTGGTTTCTGGTGAAATTAAGCGTGGCCTCAATTTGTTGGTAGTCCTCACTGCTTGGAAGCTGTGGAATCACCGTAATGATTGTGTTTTCATCGGGGACATCCCTAGCATCCAGCTCGTTCTGAGGCAAACCCTTGAAGAGGCACACCTATGGGTTCTTGCAGGCGCTAGAGGTCTTGCCAACCTAGAGATCGCTAATAGTTAATAAAATGGTTTTTGTTGAGTTGGGTCCTGGATTGATGTAAAGGGTGTGTTTGTTTCTGGCATGAGTATGTGTAAACTGGAATATGCACAAAGAATTGTAGATTGATTATGGAGGATGTGAAGGTACACATATATTGGCAAGGATGAACTAGGGTTTATAGAAATAGAACCAACCAACGGTGATCCTTGCCTGTAATATATCAATCATATCTACCCTAGCCGTATGGGGCCCAGGGCCCAAATAGGAGGCACCAGCCAGCAGCCCAAAGGGCCTGCCACACCCTTTTCATGTAAACTGGAGTAGGCACAAAGAATAGTAGATTGGTTATGGAGGATGTGAGAACATATATAGGCAAGGATGACCTAGGGTTTATAGAAATAGAACCAATCAATAGTGATCCTTGCCTATAATAGATCAATCATATCTATCCGAGCCATAGGGGGGTGCAGGGCCCAGATAGGAGGCACCAGCCAACAGCCCAAAGGGACTGCCGCACCCTTTTATGTAACAGTATGTAAGTGTGTGTTTATGTGTGTTGTAATTTATTTATTTTATCCCCTTAATGCAATGATACGCAGCTCTCCTGTGCATTCTATAAAAAATACATTTATACAAAGTTAAATCCTATTGTAGTACAAATTCCATTTATGATCCTGTCCATTGAAGTTCCTATACAAATAATGAGATACTGATTCTATTCTTATTCTGTATTCAGTGAAAATGATCATTCATATCTGAAACTGGCCGCTGGAAAATCTGTGCTGCAATTAGCTACACGATGGGATTCACATATTTCACCAGAATTATTTCGTAACACACTTCTCATAGCAAGGGTACTGTCAATATTTTACACTGCTAATTGGTATCTTGCTTCAGATTTCATACAGAGGCCGCATTTCTGTCCATTAACCTTCCAAAATTATTTACTTTGATTTTTAGGTCTTTGATTTTGAAGTGCAATATTTTCTGTAGATGCATATGATTGTGTGCTTGCTTCAGCTTGCCTTGCACGCTTTGTTTGATTACTATAATTATTATTGTTAGGAGACCATTATATTATTATATAGACTGAATCATAGTTCCATATTCAAACCTATTGTTGGAGGTTCTCTGCATTTTAGTATTATTTCCTCTACTTTTGTAATGTATATTTTGTTCGGCTTCCAGGATCCTTCATATAATGTTCGCAAGTCATTTATTTGCAAACTTTATGGCCTCTTGAAGAAACGTGCAATCCCATTTAGATATGCATGTGCTTTTGCACTAACATCAACAGATTGCTCCAGAGATATCCGTACTGAAGTAAATGTCCTCTTTTCCTTTTGATTTTGGTTAGTTTTCATATATATGCCCTTCAACCTGCATGTGCTCAAGGCATTTCCCTGTACTGTTCCTAGTCGGCAAGTTACTTAAGTGAGGTGCTGAAGGAGCAAAGAAGGTTTTTTGTTCATCAGAACAGAGCAAACAAAGAGTCCATCGTGGACAACCCAGCATATGCTGTGGTTTTTTTGATCCATACTCTAGCATATGATGGGACGCTCCCTTCCAATTACTATGTAGACGAGAGTAACTTTCCTGAACTTTGCAGGTATTTTCTTATTTTAGAGTGCTGGATCCTGCAAACTCCTTTTGGCACTTAAAAGGTACCTGCTAGAAAATTTTGATCCTCACAGTAATTTTCCTATGTGTTTCTTTTTTTGTTGACAGCCCACTTTGTGTGATGTTGAGAGAACTAGTTGAAATAGATAGCTCTAGCAGAACTGAGCATGGTCCCACTGCCAGTTTTGTATCAGTTCTGTCAGGGATTCTCCGTGGTATTCAGAAGGCCGAGGATCCGACTGATTCTGATATAACTCCTGTATGTCTTTTGGCCACTCTTAGGTATGTTATATTTGTTTACCATTTTGTCATCAAACTCTGACGTTCTAAGCCCTGTCACAGACACTGCATGTTCTCTCAAAAATTGGCTTGCTTATTGTAAAAGAACTTGATAAGCATTGCAAGATGTCTGATTCTCCACGCCATATTCTCTTGCCCTCATCTTACTATAGATTGTCTGGGAGTGAGAGAAAATCAGATGTAAGTCACTTTTATTTGAAACCATAAAATAGTCTATCTTTGCATTATAGCTAACCTTTTGTGTTGCTCTGATATTCTAAATGCAGGAATGTTGCCAAGAAAATTTTATTAGTGATAAGCTTGTAAAGAGAATTCTTAAAGCTCATGAACCTTATAACCATAATGTATATCCTTTCTGCGATGCCTCCTTTTCTCCTTCTTTCAAATGTGTAACTGTACAGTGTACACCATCTAGCATCTAACTTGGTGATGGTCTAAAATCAATTGATGTATTTCAGGACAATACTAAATGCTCTGTTGTTTCTGAGAGGGTATCAAATGAATCTGCTCCTGAAAGGAAAGCTTGCTCCTCATTAAACAAATCAGTGGGACAGAATGTAGGTGGTTGTGATAAAGGCAAAAGGAACAAACGTTTGGCATCTGGGAAAGCTGTGTCCAAGAAAAAGGATCAGGATACTAATAATAGCTTGGATAAAGAAAATGTGTCATCTTGTGGTTCCGCTGGCACAAAGGTGTCATATCCAGGCTCCTTGAGTTTAGCTAAGGAAGCTGATTCTGGAAATTGTGTCTCCCTCTTGGATAACCGGAACTGTCCTATGAGTAGGTGCTCCACTGGGGAGACTAGAACCTCAAAGGCAAATCACAACAACTGTAGGCAAACTGTGGTATGCACATATTTGCTAACTTGTGGTCAATTATAAGTTTGCTTGTTATATAGTGAACTACGTATAGTTTCCTACATGAACATCTATATATCTTTTATTATTTTTGCAGGACGTCTCCGATTTTAATCTCAGAGAATGGTAAGCAGAACAACAGTTTGTCAGATCCCCCCCCCCCCCCCCCCACACACACACACACACACACACACACACACACTTTCCCTTTTTTAAGGATTTCTGTCCCTGCCTCTTCTTTTTGTTCACATCGTCATATCATGTTTTACTCCAGTTGAATTAGTATGGCTCCATAGTGTAAATATACCACGAATGATTCTGGACCTAACTGTATGGGGCCACCTTCCCCCATTGTCTGCTGTGCCTTCATGTGGTAGCTTCCCCCATGATATCATTGGGAAAAACATGCAATGCCATTTTATAACTAGAATTATGTGCTGATCTATGTCTGTAGGTATAATTGGTTGGTCTTATTCATTCCATGTTGACTGTTGACACATAATATGATTATTTCCCCCACCTCCCAACCCCCTTGATGGGATCATACATTTTAGTAGAATGTGCACCGGTAGAACATTCTTTTTAAAAAAGAGTGTTGATAAATAAAAGGTGGCCACATTAAATTTGTGTTGCTAGATTCATCATGAAATGCTGTTTCAATGGCCAAAAAACTTTGATGTGCAATCAGCTATAGTAGTTCCTTATTAAAAATAAAGGGAAATCTCTATAGCGAAAAGGTTGTTGACAATCAGCATGAAATTTGACTTATATAGACCTGATTCTGGCAGATCAAATTAATTGAACCTGATTCTTTTTTTTTCTCAAATATTCTGACAGATCATATTTATTTAGACCTGATTCATACAGATCAAATTTGATTGCCATTTAGTTATATCTCAGATAAACTCATACTAAATTTCACAAACTTTATCTTTATATATCCTGCCTTGGCAGCGGTGGAGGTATATGTACTGCTGTGGGTGTGGCTGCACCCACACAAAAATAAAAAATAAAAAAACTTTGGCAAGAATCAAATTTTCACCATATTTGCACCCCCTCATATGTCACAAATCCTTGCATCCACAAAGCAAGTGCACCCCCCTCTGATTTGCTCTAGCTCCACCCCTATGCCTTGGCCTGGATTTCTGGTTAGTTCTTGGACAGTTCTAGTATGTGTATGCCTGCCAATCCAACCACTGTTCTGTCAATCAAATGAAAGAACTAGAAATCTATTATACAATCATGATGGCATTGCAAGAATAACAAAGGGGTTGAAAATGAACTTGTCCAGCTTATTTGATAAAAAGTTGTTATGTGCTTTGCTGCAAGTTTATGTGACAAGTTTTCTTCGTTTTGATGATACTTGAACCTTGAAATATTAATAGTTCCTTCAAGAATGATCATAGCAAGGGTTTATCTGAAGCCCAGAAGCATGAAAAGTCGCTTCCTGGATCTTCGATTATATGGTGAGAATGTTTGCCCCTTTTTTCACGGTGAAGCTTTGCTGACTTTCCATCCATGACTATTTATATATCAACTTAAAGCAGTGATATTGAAGATGTTGAAGATGTTGGTGATTGCGATGACAACTTTGTGAAAGCACCGTTATCAAACAACTTAACAGGTAATCACCCAATAATTGAAGCTGTCATATTGTCAATGCATAAACACCAATGATTCTGAGACTATCCGCGTCAGATCTTGAAATCCTTTCAAAGTCGCCTTACCAACAAAATCATGTAAAAGTCACTCATAAGTATTCAGTTGCATGCACCGACCAATTTGACCCAAAAGCTTAAGCTGATGGGGAGAGTTGGGTAATTTACTTATTTCCAAAACTCCCCCTCACGTGGAGGCTCTCTCAGGCCTCAAACGTGGAATAGGAGCGAGCAACTATTATATTTTATTTAATTGCACTAATTAGGATTCAAACTTGAGACCTTAGGCTTTGATATCATATTGAGTTGCATGCATTGACCAGTTCAACCCAAAAGTTTAAGCTGATGGGGAGAGGTCAGCAATTTTCACTTATATTCCAACAATAAGTCAAAGCTAAAAATAATAGTGGTTCTGACTAGCAGTCTTGAATTAAATTGTGTCCAATTCTTAATGGCACTTCTATCCTGATGATTGAATGTTGCTGGTTAAAAGTTGTGCTCCTAATTTTACATATCATGTTTGTATTTATTGCATTAATCCAGTTTTGTACATTTCTGCAGCCAACCTTAAGAAAAAGGGTAAGAGAGCATTAGAGGTGGCGAATCTGCAGAACAGCTCTGATTTAACTGATGTTGTCACAAAGGATAACGTAAGTCGTGCAAACAATGCATGATTTCATTTGTATCATAGAATTATATCTAATTTTGCTTTTGCACAGGTTCGACAGATTAGAGCAAGGAAGGTGCCAGTGTAAAGAGCTACTCACATATGATCTTAGTATTTATCTGATTTTCGTCCCATGTAAATACTTAGTTCTGGAATCATTTATACTTGCATATCCACTTGCGAGTATTGTCATGATGGTAGGAATCTTGGTCCCAGTCGACAATGTAACATTGTAATTTAAATAGGGAAGGGCATGAGCCTCTTATGACGTCTTCTCTAATGTTATCCTTGATTAGTACCCCTTGTTGTAGGACTTTTTGAACTTTTATAGATACATTAATTTTACTTATCTAGACATAGCGAATAGCAAAAGCTATATATAAGTTAAAGTAAATTATTACAGTTTAGATTGGAGAGAGTAACATGGTACCCACCACCTGCTGGCCCATCATTTGTCGATTTTTGCCTTAAAATCAGCAATGATATTTGGACCATAAATTGGTAATGATATTAGGTCATCATTGTTAGTTAGACAGTGATACTATTACTGTCGGTTTGTGGCTTGGGTGATATGTTGCTCGAAAAACTTCATAACTTTCTCATATGATGCCTGATGAAGACGAATTTTATATCAAAGTTGTAGTACTCAACGAGATCTACAATTTTGTAGTTTAATTTTTTTTATTTGAGATCGTTTGAATGTCTAAATATACATCATAAGATTTTATAGAATTAATACCCAAGGAGTTCATATGCTCTATAGTCAGTGTAGTGGTAGTTAAGGATCTTGATGGAGAAGCGATCAAAATAAAAGTTTTAGATGTCGAAAAGTTAGGTAACTTTGTAGTTCTCAAAAAAAAATTTGAAGCTGTTATGATGTCTCTATTTGATTCGCAAGATTTTATAGAAGTTTATAACAAAGGAATCCACATTTTGTAAAGTCCTGAGTGTGTAGTGACTAAAGTGGATCTTGAAAAGTTATGCAACTTTGTAGTTATCAACTTTTTCATTTAAAAATCATCTATCAACGAATTACGTTTGATTTCTAAAATTTAAAATTTGAATTTTTTAAACAACCTTGGATGGAGAAACGTATAAAATAAAAGTTGTAGATCTTGAAAAGTTGTGCAACTATGTAGTCAATAACTTTTTCATTTTAAATCATCTATCCTAGGAAAATTATGGTTGAATTTCCTCACATTTGAAATTTAAATTCTGCAAATGACCACATATGGAAAAATGACCAAAAACAAAATTGTAGATCTCCGGAAGTTATAGAACTTTGTAGTTAACTTTTTTATTTGAATTCGTTTAGTATCTCAAATATATATTTTAAAACCAGAATGATAAAATGGGGAAGACGAATATTCCAAAATGACACGAGCCGATGAGCGTCCGGGTGGGGTGGTTAGTGGACGAACATGTGAAGCTGGAGGTTGGGGGTTCAAGCACTGGTGACCGCCGCAAAGCGTGTGTTTTTCATGAGAAAAATCACGTGACTTGTGGCCTGGGGATTCGAGCGTCGGTGGCCATGAAACGCGCGTTTTCATGTGAGACGGTGGGAGGCGGTGGAGGTGGAGGCACTCGGAGGGCATCATCGGAGCCGGGTCGAGGGGGTTGAGGGCGGCGTCGCAGAACCGGAGCCGGACGGGATGAGGAGGCGTCCGGGGAGTGCGGGACTTAGTGTCCATGCTTGTGAGTGCTTGGGAGCCCTCCATCACACACATACTTGATAGCGATCATCCGATTGTGTGAGTGAGCGATTCTAGTGCGATTGCATTGTGAGGTTGCATCGAGTGGCACTAGGTGATCGAGTTGCGAGCCGGTGGTGCTTGTTACTCTTGGAGGTTGCCACCTCCTAGATGGCTTGGTGGTGGTCTCCGTCGAAGCGCACAAGAAGCTTGTGCGGCGCTCCAGAGAAATGCTTGTGAGGGGCATTGTGCTCGCCCCGCGGGAGCCACGGAGAGCAACTCTAGTAAAGCGTGTCATTGAGCTACCCTCACTCAAGGGGTAGGTTCTTGCGGCGCCCGACGTGCGGGCTTAGCGGGTGATGCTAATTAGCCGCCGAACCACCAAGTGAGCGGTCGACACAACGGGGACTAGCGTGTTGGCAAACACGTGAACCTCGGGAGAAAAATCATCGTGTCAACCTTGTTCTTCCCGTTGGTTTGCATCCCCATTACACAAGCTTGCAATTACTTTTATACATATTAAGCTTGTGTAGTTGCTCTTGTAATTAGATAGCTTGTGTAGCTTGCTAATTATATTCTTGCTTGTGTAGCATAGAAGTAGCTCCCTTGCGTGGCTAATTTGGTTTTAGTAACCTTGTTAGTCACATTGCTTAGTTTGTGTAGCTAAGTATTTGCGCTCTCTAATTAGGCATTGGTTGCCTTGTTATTGAGCTTTGCTAGTGAGCTTAGTTGCCTTTGTGCTTTTGCTTACTAGCATGTGTAGGAGCTTCCTTGTTGCTTAAAGTACTAATGGCATAGGTTTGTGTGACCTTGCTCCTAAAATTGTTTAGGAGAGCTTTAGCTAGCCCGGCACCTTAGTTGCATAATTAGTATCTTTGCAAGGTGCTAGTGAACATATATAGAGGGGTGTAGTCTTGGCTAGACCGATTGTTTTTATTCCGCATTTATATCGGTTAGCCGACGTGATTAATTTTAGAAAGTACTATTCACCCCCCCTCTAGTCCGCCATCTCGACCCTTCACTTTGGTCAAACTTAAAGCATTTTATTTCTCTAAATATGATAATTACTTTCCTTTATGAACGAATGGAGTAACATCTAAGGGTTTTTTTGGTAGGCATCGACTCCTTAAAAGAAAAGCTCCTCCTTTATGTGAAGTAGCTTCTCTAGTGAAGTTAGAGCTGTCTCAAAACATGTTTAACAAAGACGGTTCTAGTGGTAGTGTCGATGCATAATGTGACCAACTAGTCAATATTTGTAGTTTTGCCGTACGTTGTGATCGGAGGTGGCCTAACACTCAATAACACAGGGTTTATATTGGTTCAGATAACGTGCCCTACGTCTAGTTTGGGTCGGTCAGTGACTTTATTCCTGAACCCAGATGCTCGAAGTTTGCAGTGGAGTTACAAACGAGAAGAAGAAAGATGGGGTGTGTAAGAGGTCCGGTCAGCTCCGGTCGAAAGGGCCAAGAGCGACAGGAGCTACGCTATGAGCTAAGTGTTCAAGCGTGTGCTTGGGGTACGAACCCGACGGTTCTGTGGTTGTGAGCTGATGAACTCGATCGATGTTGGTTTACTCAAAAGGACTAAAGAAGCTCTTCTTTGTTGGAGGGAGCGCATCCCCTTTTATAGATAAAAGGGATGACTTTACAAGTGAGAGGATGAGGGTACGTATGCTACTGGGCTCTGTCGCCCATGCCGGCGGGTACAAGATAATGGTAGGCGGCTACAACACTGTTGGTCGTCACTGTAGAGTGTCAGATGCACGTGGGAGGTTGCGTTGCCTTCTTCAAAATGATGAGATGTCGGTACCTGCAAAACATTGTTGATGCCAAGAGACATACGAGGAGTTTCACCACGTTCACCTGGTACGGTAAATCCCGGCGCCCACAACACTATCGATGCCTAGAGGCATGTGGGGGCCTTACCGTACGGGAGTTAACGGCGCCTACAATACTGTAGAAGGAAATGTCGGCGCCTATAATATTGTTCGTGTCAGGGTGGTTGCAGAGTAATGTACAGGGTATGGTCCCTGGTATCGTGGTTTGACTCTGTGCGCCCTGGCTTGCTTTTTTTGTTCGTCACCTGGTTCCTTCCGAGCGAGCGTTCCTGGTCGGATGGCCCCAGTCGGTCCTGGTCGCGCCAGTCGGAGAAGAGTGGTGAGCAGGGTTTTCTGCGAACCCTGGTCGGAGACGCGGGGTTGGAGTCGAAAGTAGCGCTTTGGGCCAGCCTTCCGATCGGAGAGATCATCTGGAGGCGGCTAGAGTCTGAAGCGAGCGCTCCGGTCGGAGAGGTGGGCCGAAGTAGTCGACGAGCGGGCGTTGTTCCCCTTTGGCCAGACCTTCCGGTCGGTGACTAGACCACTCTTTTGGCCTGTTGTTTTAGATCCTTGGGCCGGCCCATGAGTTGTGCACTGCCCGCTTGGGCCGAGCCTTGGCGTGGAAGCCGGTCCCCGAGGGACCCCGGGTTTATAAACCCGACAGGAGCCCCCGAGCCCCCGGGCGATCCGGGTAGAATCGTCTGGGGGATTTTATTTTTTACGGCGGGTGCACGTGAGCGCACCCGCGGGTGTAGCCCCCTTGCCGCGGTTCAGGCAAAACCGTCTAGGGGGTTTTCTGGGTTGCCGGCGGGTGCACGCGAGCGCACCCGCGGGTGTAGCCCTCGGTGAAAGGTCCTAATATGGCTAGAGGGGGGTGAATAGCCTATTTAAAATTCTATAAATCAACTAGAGCAATTTGATTAGTAAGACAAATAGCGTAATGTAAACTTGCTCTAGCTCTACAAGGGTTGCAAGCTACCTATCCAATAATTCTAGTTGCAATGATTACTAGACACACAACTTGCTATGATACTACTCACTAAGAGCTTTCAATCTTGCTATACTAAAGAGCTCCACTAGATGAACTTAAATAACTAATCAAGCTCTTAATTCTAATTACACTAAAGAGCTTACCACAACTAGTTTGCAAGAATATAAATGAGTGAGTAGGATGATTATACCGCCGTGTAGAGGAGTGAACCAATCAGAAGATGAAAACTAAATCAATCACCGGGAGAATACCAAAGGGCAAGAGACAACCAATTTTTCTCCTGAGGTTCACGTGCTTGCCGGCACGCTAGTCCCCATTATGTCGACCAACACTTGATGGTTCGGCGGCTAAGAGGTGTTACACTAACCTCGTCCACACAATTGGACACCGCAAGAACCTATCCACAAGTGAGGTAACTCAATGACATGAGCAATCCACTAGAGTTACATTTCAGCGCTCCGCCGGGAACGTACAAATCCCCTCACAATCACCGGAGATGGCCATGAACAATCACCAACTCGTGCCAATCCACCACCGCTGCAACAAGCAAAATCCGCAGCAAAACACGAATACCAAGTGCCTCTAGATGC